ACACTATACAACACACCATACCTCAGGGACACTATGCAACACACCATACCTCAGGGACACTATGCAACACACCATACCTCAGGGACACTATGCAACACCCCATACCTCAGGGACACTATACAACACACCATACCTCAGAGACACTATACAACACACCATACCTCAGAGACACTATACAACACACCATACCTCAGAGACACTATGCAACACACCATACCTCAGGGACACTATACAACACACCATACCTCAGGGACACTATACAACACACCATACCTCAGAGACACTATACAACACACCATACCTCAGGGACACTATGCAACACACCATACCTCAGGGACACTATGCAACACACCATACCTCAGGGACACTATACAACACACCATACCTCAGAGACACTATACAACACACCATACCTCAGGGACACTATACAACACACCATACCTCAGAGACACTATACAACACACCATACCTCAGGGACACTATACAACACACCATACCTCAGAGACACTAACAACAACAACCCAGCAAGTCAATATATTACATTCATTAAAACCTCAATTAAACCCGTCTATAACCTCCCCAGAAACAGCTGTAGAGAAAGCTATACATTGTAGATAGAAGTCATTGTACAACACAATGACTCCCGCAACAAACAAAATATACACACAAGCAAGCCCGTATGCTCAAGAAATTCTCAAGTACATAAGCAGGGAAATACGCAGCAATTGGACCCGCACCTCAGTGTCAATCATTATTTACCTCAAGAACAGTTGAACCTCGAACGAGAAAACCATTTTGGCATTAACACTTGTTCGTTCCCTTCAACTACTACCCCCCTCCCCCCATTCCCCTACTACTAGCAGTAGTCAACCCGTTCTCGCACTTTCTTACAGTCAATATTGACTTATTAAATAAGTGCACATGTGACATACTAATTTATTGTGAATATTTTAGTTTACCTTGAAAAGCTTCATAGAAAACACCGACCTTACCTAACCTTCTTAGTATGTTAAGATAAGCATCTTATTGCTTCGTAATTACAATTATTACTTAAACTATACCAATAATAGGTTAAGTAATAATTGTAATTACGAAGCAATAAGATGCTTATCTTAACATACTAAGAAGGTTAGGCAAGGTCGGTGTTTTCAATGAAGCTTTTCAAGGTAAACT